AATTAAAGAAATCCCATAATCGGAGCTGTCTATAAGTAAAAGAACAGGCTATGCATTTGTATCAAAATTTAATGAAAACAAGAATTTAAAGAATAATAACAGATATGGAAACACCAAGTAACAAAGACATCTAAAATCAATTAAAATGAAACAAGTCCTCCCTGATATGGCCCAAAGTGTCAAATAGTGCTGATAATAATATAATGACCACCAAAGTGGTCGGAGAGTCACGGATTTTTTGACACAAGCGCTGTGTTTGAAGAAAAAATGGATTTAGGAGTATCAGAAAAAGAGATGTACTCACTTATGATGAAATTGCATAATAAGGCAGTTCCTGAGAAGGATGATATCGAGTAGGTAACTAGTTTGTCCACAGAGTTTGCCTCGACGGTCCGTTATTGAATTCCAGAGGATCGCATCCTTATAGTGTTGTATGCACACTTCAGGGGCTGTTGCCGGTCCTCTATACTGGCTTCCGCCCACCAAGTGGTGACAATTGGTGTATTCCGTAATGGAGATGAAAGGCTTTTATTCCACACGTGCGGCCGCACTGGGAAAGGCAAATGGATGGAACTCCAGGGTAGTATATCACTCACGTAGCGGGTCGGGAATCTGTCAGCTTTTCCGTAGCTCGTCCATCCCTCTCGTAGCGGGTCAGAGATCTGCCCGCGTCCACTCAACAGGGACAAGCAGCGTACACTCAGTATGCAAAACAGGCTGCCGAATCCAATTCTATTGTAATATAGCTGATTTTATTCGTAGCTGTTATTTTGAAAGGGGCTTCAAACAGCCGGCGCTGTCAGCAGAGTAGTTGATGGGCATTCAAGGAGGGCTCGGTACACGTTATCACGTTATCCCTAATAACTGATACTCCTAAATCCATTTTTTCTTCAAACACAGCGCTTGTGTCAAAAAATCCGTGACTCTCCGACCACTTTGGTGGTCATTATATTATTATCAGCACTATTTGACACTTTGGGCCATATCAGGGAGGACTTGTTTCATTTTAATTGATTTTAGATGTCTTTGTTACTTGGTGTTTCTATATCTGTTATTATTCTTTAAATTCTTGTTTTCATTAAATTTTGATACAAATGCATAGCCTGTTCTTTTACTTATAGACAGCTCCGATTATGGGATTTCTTTAATTAAGGGGAACTCTGCTTGTTTTATATGATCTTTGAAACCCGGGAGATCTGTCTTGATATTTGTTACTATAAGCGTGACTCCTTCTTTCCCCTTTGTGTTGACATAGTGCAGGGATACACTTGGGCCCATGAGTAATGCACAACTGGCCACTGGGGCATAAAAGAATGATTTGTCTGGCTTAACTTAATATAATTTAGGTAAACCTGTGTTTAATTTTAGGTTAAAGCTCTTTTGAACTTTCAGTGTGAATCAGCTAGATACAGATTCTCTCTTCAGAGGTCCAACACGCCCCCACCCAAGTTATCTAGAGCTCTCCAATCAGGAAAGCTCATGCTCCATGCTAAATGAGGAGCTCTAGCTCTGACTCTGCAGGGGGCATGTTAGACCACTGCAGAGGGACCACTGCTTTTACACAGGTTGGCCTTTCATAAACTAAATCCACATTTGGGATCCAGGGATCATCTTAACTTAGCCGGCACTGTCAACTTCTCAAAACAAGGCGGAAGCTTGTTCTTATAGCCTCCTTCCCCTATTCTTTATGCAAATTCTGATTTCCTGTGTATCAGAGACTAGGCAAAGACATTCTATTTGAACATAACAATTCCCAGGTCCTTCAATAGATTGCTCAGGTGCTGGGGATTGCATTATGGGATATTACATAGGGGTGTGCCTATGCTCCCAGTGCCCAGTCAGCATTTGCATACTAGATTGAAGGGGCTTTTAAACGGTACTTAAGTTTTCCCTATTGGTTAGGCAGCAGCATTTGCTAGTATCCAATGGACCTTGGGCTCCAACCACAAGGTTTAAGTTTGAACTTCATACAGAGGTTCTCTAGATATAAGAATCATTCCCTTCTTGTTTCTTTTTTTAATAGAACACATGTTTAAATGCCATTGTCTGAGTATATCTATACTGTACGTTTGTAGTGAGCTTTTAGGTTACTTTATTGGCCTCCTTACCACAACCTGACTTGTAATACTCTAACATTTTAGGTGCCAGAAAGGCCCTTGTGTGGCTAGAATGTTGTGGCTCAGTAGAAAGGCTGAACACAATACCATTTATACTATGGAATATTGACATATTTCTAGCGCATTACAACATTATACATATCATCTTACATTAGCTGGATACTACGCTTAGTCTTGTAATTCATCCACAGCTGCTGTTGAGCAGCAGGATGCTCAACACTAAGCTTGAAGCTGAAGCCTCCAAATCTCCATTGCCAAGCTGGTCTTTTCTTGTGCAGTCATTGTGTAGATGAATAGTTGTAGCGAATTTATTGGAGTCCTCTCATCACGCCCACCCCTTGGCCTTCTCCGAGTTTGTAATAATTAATGCCGGGCACAGTTCTTAAAATATTCTTGGCACCACACATTGGAATCTTCATTTCAGTGAAAAGGTTACTTTGTATTTTATTATATTACTAAGTATATGTGTTTGGGCATATGCTGGCGGCTCTTCCAGTGGAATCTTTGGAACCTGTAACTGCTTTGATGGGAGAGTTTTAAGCAATTTGTCTCTGTTGCTAGGAGTGGTTGGAGTGTAATAATAATGTAACAGCCAGTGTTGTCTGATTTGTTACTTTTGGACTCTCAAGTTTCTTGATTTTAGGTATGTTTGCTTAACAGCAGAACATTTTCAATAAAGCTGTTTTGTGGAGAAATTAAAGCAAACCTGCCACGTCCAGAGTGTATTAAACAGTAGCAAATACCCGATGTCAGATACTATATGGTCTTTAGTGGAGAAATTCCACTAATTTTATGTCTTGTTGATCATGCAGGAATTGAGGTTAAGCTCAAAAAAGTGGAGGTGAGTTCACAAAAGTGACTCAAACTGCATTCATAATCCAGTAAATATAGGACTGAAGTGCCACATCGTGATGTTAAAATGTCCAGATACAAGTTTATTCCAGAATAAAATATGAAGAAAGATTTACACAATTCAAACTTGTTTCGGGGGCTGGAGCCTTACCCCCTTCATTAGGGCTTGACAGATAGGAAGCAATGTATGCAGACTTGATAATGAAGTGATTCTTTAATATGGATGGCTTTAGTCTTCCAGTCTGTTCATTAGCAGCTGGTTGGGGCAGCCTTCCAAACTAAATTCTTCTATGATGAAGGGGACAAGTCTCCAGCCCCAAACCACTTTGGCTTTGTGAACGATCGGCCTTTAGTTTTTATTATAGAATAAACTACTATCTGTACTTTTTAACATAACAGTGTGGTGCTTAAACTTAATAGTTATTGAGTTTTGTCATGGCCTAAAGGTGACCTTGAAGTCTTTTGGCATGCAAAAGCTACTAGCCCACTGTTCAGACGTTGCGGATCCCCATCAGCTCCACACTGTTGGATGGTAATAAGAGGACTTTTAGTGATCCAGCACCATCAATCCATTCAATCATATTGCAATAGAGGTTGTATACCTAATAACAGAGGTCCTCACCATTCCCTATTGTAATTGCTGTGGGCCCACTGGAGAAATTCACTTCCAATCCCACTAACCTCAGAGGAAGTAAGAAACAGCAAAATAGTGACAAATGTTCTAACCCTTTGACATGCTATCTGAAACTAAAAAAAAAAAAAAAGTTTGGTCTGTAAATCTATTTTAATACACTTTAGATGAGGACACGTCCTCTACTTCCAGAAGTGCATTTGTTCTTTGTTAGAGAATAATGCAACACTTTTTTAGCCTATCGAATGGCAAAACTTTTTTGTACTATTTTTTCTTTTTTTGTTTTAGTTTAGTGGTAAGGGTTTAAAACTAGGGATGTTCAGATACCAAGTACCATATTCGGTACAAGTACAGATACTTTTCCAGCTCCAAGACTAGACTAGAGAAAAATTCAAAAGTTAGGAGGCAGCTGTCATTTCTAAGGCGCATACGGGGCTCCTGGGATTTGTACATCTCTGTTTTAATGCATAATTTTTTTTTATAAATGTATATAAGGGATGCATTTTTACCAAGTACAAGTACTGATACTTGTTCAAGTACTCACAGATACAAGTACTGATACATTTTTGTTTATTGTCATGTGACAGTTTTTCTAAAACAATACATGCTAATGATTTCAGGACAGTGGTGGAGAGCCAGAGCCAACTGGCTGGTAAGCTGCAACCCTGGTAGTTCTCAGTATCGGCACTGGTATCTGGACATTCCTATTTAAAATCCATGTCAGGTTCTGTATCTCCTCTGGGGATGTTCACCCTCTCTATTTGTCTGGGTAACCATTGTCATTTAGACTAGAGTGAGTGAAAGTGCCCCCACAACTAGAATAGAGGGAAAATCAGTTCCAGCGAAAACTGTTTCAGGAGATTTCTCTCTATTTGGAAGTATCTGTAAAAAATAAGTCAAGGCAACTGGACTTACTGTATTTTTCTTGAAGACGTTTCACTGGTCATCCAACCAGCTTTCTCAATTCAGAATGAGAACCTTCACAGATCTATTTGGAAGGATTTCCTCTTGTTCCTGTTGTGACTATGGGACGGAGTTAAAGCTGAACTCTGAGTAAAAAAAATAAGTTACCCATACAGTGGTTCTCCCTCCACACTGCAAGGGTTAACTGCTCTTTTGCCTAGGGGGTGATGAATAAGGTGATACCCTTACCTTGTTCTTCAGTTCCGCATACCTCCTCTGCACTGCAAGCCTCTTACCTTCGTTGCCTGACCAGTTGAAGCTTTCTGACTTCATCTTGTACATTGCAGGACCATCACAGGGGTAACAGAGCTGGAACCTACACCTTTAAAAATAAGTCTGCAGATGTGGTTCTTAATAATGTGATGATTTAATATCTCACATCAGTAGTGTTGTATGAATTGTTCACAAATATGATATTCCATCTTGTTTTATTCCAGAGTGTTGTTCGATGCCTTTGGCATCCCAAGCTGAATCAGATCATGGTTGGGACTGGGAATGGATTTGCAAAAGTCTATTATGATCCAGTAAAGAGTCAAAGGTAAGGCTTCTTTTACAAGATTTCTGTTTTCATATGTTCATGTCCAGAAAATGTCATTGTTTTATTATTGTGGACAGACAATAAAGAGATCATCTTTACCAAGAAGCACACAGGCCTTTAATTAAAAGGGATTTACAATTTAATGAAAGGGTTAATCCTCCCAGATCTGATGTCAGCTTTGTCATGGATGCTGTGAACTTAAAGGTTTTGTATATAATTCACAAGGGCTCTGGTGGTATGATCTCGGAGCATGAACACCAAGATCTGCACACCTGCTTTGTCAGTAAAGGATTCCCACTCTCCTTGTTCAATCCCTTATTTATTTTATATTATGGGTAAGTAATAAGAATTCCTGTGAACACCCCTGTGGCAGCAAGAGACTTAAAGTAAATGTAAACTGGCCTTTAAGCGGACCTTTACACTCAAAAAACAAATTCTACCAATGCATCCCTCTATGTATAATTAATAATAACATAGACATGTCAGGTGTAAAATGCTGTGATTGTGAAATACTTACACTTGCAGAGCATTCACTTCCTGCTTTGAAAGTGCAAAATGACTTCAGTTTGCCAAAGCAATGCACACTGGGATTGCCTTGTCATCAGTAGAGCATTGCTGGGCAATCTCATCTGTAATCTCACGAGATCTCCGGGAAAGACATTTTCCTCCCCTGTGCTGATGTGCATGGTCATATGTCCTAGTCATCCTAGCCAGAAATCCAGGAAGTAAAAGGGGAGCTAGTAATCTGCCCTTAGTTAACATGGTCCCTGTCAGAAGACTGGGGAAGAAAAGAGAAATAAGGAATGCAAAGAATACAAAGTCGGCAACTCTCTAGAAGTATGTGTTTGTAGATTGTCATTACTAAACATTTCTAAAGGTGTGTTTGCTGTTATTTTAGAGATATGGGTAAAGGTCCGCTTTATACATTACTAAGGTAACAGTGGTGCAAAAACATTGTAGTGTATAAAAACACTTAGTGTTAGTCAGTATGTCCCTGTGGAGAACCTTGTACCAAGGCCCAGGCTGCACATACAGCCCTGACTTCTGCTCCAGATTAAAGTGTACGTTTGTTAAGCCAAATAGGGATAACACCTACTTTGTATTTGTTGTTCCCATTCACATAGCATACTTTGAAAAAAATGCTAATTTACGTTTTTAGTGCTTGTTGCTTGGCTTAAATCCTAACTAGGCTTATTCCCTATGTAATGTTAAGGAGGGGGGTGGGGAAGTTATGTTTACCCTAATTAAACCTGTCTGTACTGTGCTGGCAAATGTCATTATCAGTGGGGGTATCTACGACACTCTTTAGAAATCAAGTGTGCATCATGACAAATGTTGGTGCTTGCCCCAGAGTCATGTACCCGCTGTCAATCAGCAGCATAGCAGACCTGATGGAGAACTAGTCCCTCGCCATCCCCATTAGGCTCCGTCCACTTGTAGCATCACTGGTTGTTAAGGGCGCTGTTAGCTATAGCTATTATAACACTGTCCTTAACAACCAGTTATGACACAAGTGTGCTGAGCCTGATAGGGATGCCAAGGAACAAGTTCCCCAACAGCTCTGCTCTGCTGCTGATTGACAGCAGTGGATTCTATATCTAATGGCAAGCTGGCTGTTGGCTATAGAATCTGCCCACTACCTATTGTTAATCAGCAGCAGAGCAGACCTTATGAGGAACTAATGCCAAGCTGAGCTTCTAAGACCTTCTAAACCAGTGGTTCTCAACCTTTCTAGGGCCGGGACCCCTTGGTAACATTTGCCAACTTGTGGTGACCCCCAATGGTAAAATTTTGGGATGACGCGGCTGCTGCAGCGACATCTGGGGGCGTGGCGGGAGAACTGACACTGCTGCGCTAGGAGAGGGCTGAGGAGGACACTCACCTTATTATTGTTTATTTTTTTATAATTTTCTTATTTTTTAATAATTTGTTTCTTATTTCTTTTTAATCGCTTTTTTATTTTTTTTAATTCTTTTATTTCTTTAATAATTGTATCTATTTTTTCCCCACTTACCTCTGTGTGATAGCAATGAAGTTAACAAACCCCTGTGTAATAGCAATTAGAGGTGACAGGTTCTCTTTATTGACCCCGGTCACCTCCAATACAGGAGTCCTAGCACAGCACTGTGCTGGAACTTCTGTGACAGGTGAGAGGGGAAGACTGCTATCCCCTCTCACAGTGCACACGGAGTGGCAGGTTTACTTTTAACCCTGTCGGGGGGAAAAAAACTTTCTCGTGGAAAGGTTTACTCTGCTCGATGAGAAAGTTTTTTTTTTTTCTGACTGACTGCAGGCCCGATGTCAGAAAAAAAAAAAAGAGCAGAGAAAGCGCTTCTCTACTGGGTGGCTAGAAGCCCCTAGGCGACCCCTGGCAAATCGTCATTCGACCCCCGAAGGGGTCCCGACCCCCAGGTTGAGAACCACTGTTCTAAACAGACACATCTAAAAGGTAGCAGATATTTGCTGCGTGAACAGGAACACATAACATCCATATATTGGGGCTTTCACAAATTAAACTGCAAAAGTGTAAATACCCTTTAAGTCTTACCCCCTCCTGCAGCCCCTCCTATTCAGCTGTGTAAAGCCAGAGTTTCTACTAGCAGCTGAAGTTCTGGTAGTTGAATTCCATTCATCTAATGATCAGTTCACATGAAGCAGCACCTCAAACAGTACCAAATTCAGGATATTCCCACTTTTGGCCATTAAGTCACAAGAAACCTTTTCATTGTAAGCTCTTCATGAATGTTGTATTGTCACTTTTAATATACAAGTCTATAAAATGACAAAACAATAAAGGAAAGGCTTTTTATTGCTAACGCTGTTACTTAGGTCACTGTAAAACAGCTTAACCTGATAGTGGCTGATCACTTTCATTGTGACCCATGACTAAGAACCACTTCATTGGGGTCATGACCTGAGGTCACAGCTTAGCCAACAGATCTAAAGCAGACCACAGACTTTAGATGCATGCACAATCCAGACTCTGAACGATCTTTCCTAAAAAAGATCAGTATGTAAGCGTGTTCACATGGGGCTTAGTATGTTTGGTGGAGGAGGATTGTGCTCTGTAGACACAGCGTCTGTGTTGGCCTATCTTTGGAGAAAATTACTTTGTAGTGTCTAAAAACACTTAGTGTTAGTTAGTATGTCCCTGTGGAGAACTTTGTACCAGGGTCCAGGGATGCCAGCGATCAGCTGTGAAAATCCAACTCAGCCCAGGAGATGTTTGCCACAGTCATATGAGTATTTTTCAACCTGAACGTAAATGGCTGAGATCAGGCATACCTTTTATGTTTGTAGGTACCTTAAAGAGACCCAGTCCTTTTTTCAGCTCTACATTTTTGTGGGTCACAGGAGTACATTTACTACTGTGACCCAAAGTCAGCTGATAGCAGGCTAATGCCTGTCATCAAATGATGGTGGCAGAGAAGGATTCTGACAATTTTGTCTCCTGGATGCCTAATTGACAGCGGGCTGTGGTTCCTTGCGTCCAGAGCCAGCTGCACCCACTCCTCCCCTGCCTGTAGCACCAGCCAGTACTAGAAGGGGGAGAGGGGAAACAGAAGATGCCCTCCACTGGAGACCAAGAGCTGACTTATCATTGACCTCGTGATCCAACGTCAGCTCTAAGCATTGGGGAGAGTATATTTTACTCACCCCATACTTCTTCGTTAAGGGTGTTAGCTTGGGGAGCCTTTTATATATCTGAAGTCAGACAAACCCCAAAACAGTTTGTACCGCACAGTTACACATCTACTGCTGCATTATCTGAAGGAAATATCGAGCAAATTGGGACCCTTATAATTGCCATGCCAGCAGCTCTGGGGACTAGCATGCAGAGATCTTATCAGTGGACTATCTGAGGAATAGATGAAGCCAATGCCAATCAAACAAACCGCCTTGTACTGTAACCTAAAAACAATTTTTTTGCAGACCAACCTTTTAAATTATTATTATACAGGATTAATATAGCGCCAACAGTTTGCGCAGCGCTTTACAATATAAGGAAGCCATTGCAATCACAATCCAATTCAAGACAAGACGGTAAGGAGGGCCCTGCCTGTGAGAGCTTACAATCTAAAAGGGAGGGGGAAGTGATACATGAGGAGGTAACTGTGTGGGGATGTTTTGTTTGAGAAAGTGATATTTCAGTGGTTAGGTTGAGGTGGGATAGACTTCCCTGAGGAGTGTAGGGGACAGTTAGGTTGATACTTTGAGACAAGGTAGGTTGGAGATGTAGCCGGGGGCAGAGTTGTGGATGGCTTTGTAAGTGGTTGTTAATATTTTGAATTTTATCCTTTGGGCGATTGGAAGCCAGTGCAGGGATTGGCAGAGAGTGGTTGCAGATACTGAGCGGATGGTTAGGTGGATAAGTCTGGCAGCAGCATTCATGATAGACTGAAGGGGGGATAGTCTGTGTAGAGGTAGGCCAATGAGGAGGAAGTTACAATAGTCGAGACGAGAGATAACAAGTGAGTGGATGAGCAGCTTTGTGGTTTTATTGGCGAGGAAGGAGCGTATTTTGGAGATGTTACGAAGGTGAAGATGGCAGGATTTGGATAAAGATTGGATGTGGGGAAGAAAGGTGAGGTCCAAATAAAGGCAGAACTTCCCACTCACGTTTGTTTTCATAGACCTAAGCTAGGTCTTTCATAAGTCAATGTAGATTCCAGGTGCACACCATACAGTGTTGTGATAATTGGTGATGCTCGTAGTGACCGCAACTAATGGTGCTGTGCAAAACCCCAGGTGTTTAGAGATTGGTCACCAGCATTAAGCAATTCAGCATGCAAATAAAGTTGGTTTTATTGCAAATTACTTCACATAGGTAGATAAGCCAACATTTTTGGCCCATACAGGGTCTCTTCCTCAAGACGACACAGGAAAGGGACCCTTCACGGCCCTGAAACATTGGCTTATTGACCTTTGTGTAATTTGCAATAAAGCCAACATGCATGTTGAATTACTGAGTGCTGGTGACTTATCTTCATTGACCTGAGGTCTTCATAAGATCACATCATATCTCCATTAATGTCACTTCTTTACATCCAGTACACTCATTCGACAATGAATCGGCATCATCATCAGTCACCTGGGAAGATTCCTGCTTGTTTATTGTGGTAGAGGTGTTTGGCTAAACAGAAATAATGATTCTTTGGAAGGTAAAACAGTTCACTATTTTTAATTTAGCTATTTGGCTGAATCTCCACTTTGATATAAAACATTTCAAAAGGGACAGGAACAACATAATATGAAAAAACATACAGGAGCATTTAGTATCTAACTTATCAAACTCAACTATTGCCTTTAAGCTCAGCTGCCTGGGTAACTCAATTTTCTGGTTGGAAGTGCAGTAATGTGTGCATAAGCCAGCAATACCTCTGCTTCTAACGACCTTCTCCTACAGATGAGAAACGGCTTGTTTCACGTGAATATTCTAACATTGTACAGTTTTATGTTGCTCATATGCTGTAATTATTGTGGGATAAACTCCTTTTTATTGCACAATAAAGTAGCCAGTATTACAATGTAAGAAGACCAGATAGTAATTTAAATGATTACTTGGCTCATTGTGGAGCGTAAAGATGTTATATGCACGTTAAATACAGCAATAAAACATGTATGATTATGTGGCCTTAAAGAGCTCTCTTTCTGAAATACATTAAAATATTTAAGCAAAGATTACTTTGCTTAAAGAGACCCTATCACCATCTCTTACTGGCGAAGTGTTTGGGCTTGGTGCGAACTGAATTTACCCAAGCTGGCACAAAACTGTCAGCGACACATTCCCCTCCCTGCCCAATCAGCTTTGACAGGGTCATTCCTCCTCCCTTTGTTATTTGTAGCTGCAGGGTGAGGAATGCCCCAACTGCAGCTGATTGAGCCCAGGAAGGGAGGTAGGTGTGTCACTGACAGTTTTGTGCGAGCTTGGGCAAACTCGATACACACCAAGCCGCGCACACATCCCTAACTCTAACATTAGTAGCTGCGTACATTAGGGAAAAGATTTTTTTTTAAACCTTACAAAATATTTTTTTTTAATGCTTTTTCTGATGTTAAAAAAAAAGTCTCACCAGTCTTGCCTTCACTTAGTCTTGCCCGCCATTTTGCGCTGCCTGGACATGCTTGTTTCTGCACATCACTGCGTTGGCTCTCTGCTCCCCCCCACAGCTTTGCACTATATGCCGGGCTGTGTGCAGGAGCACACATGTGTATCAGTGGCAAGAGTCAGTAATGTTTACACAGTAGTCAAATCTGGAGTATACTCACATGCACCCATTGACTTCTATGGAAGGCTGTAGACCTGTGTCTTCCTGGCAGGAGAAATACTTTTGGGGCCTAGGTAACTGTATGCAAAAACCCTAAATACACAGTGGATGGACGAATACACATTTGGCACAGATCCATTTGCACATATGTGATCCCTGCTCTACATTGCTTCATTTACTGATCACATTTTAGCAGTGCCATGACTTTGCCCTAGGGTGACAATGCTCATTCACTGTACAGTTTTGATAAGGGAGCAGTGTTACAACCTTAGGAAATGTGTGAGGACTACAGGTACTACAGATGTTCTGTGCTCACAGAGAGTGATGGGAACAATGAAACTAATAATAGTGCAACACCGACAGAGAGCAAGGGACGTTATCATCTCATTAGATTTCAGGCATGATCATTGTGTTTTTTTTGCAATTCACAAACAGATAACAAAACATTTGGAATGGTATATTTACAGAGCAAAAGGAAACAAATAAGAGCAGTTCATTGTCCTTGTTTACCTAGACTTTAAGAACGCACCACCAGTGTGGTCATTTTAAGCACCTACTTAAAAGCATATTGTGAGGTGTTCCAATTAAAAGATAGACTAAAGACATGCCTGCTTTTTTACAGTGTACATGGCAAAATGTTTTAGCCCTCTGTAAAAGTGAAGGCATTTATTAAAGCTGTACCATAGACGTGTAGGCCAGTTACTGAAAATTATTATTTTTTTTTTTTTTTTTTTTCACCCCTG